TGGAGCATCCAATCAGCCATGGAAGTATAGCAGGAGACCCATTGAAAATAAAGTAGAATAAGATGCACCAGGGTAAACAATATTAGCAGTACCAACTCTCTATGTAGACGTTACGTTGACCTCCAGTGCTCTATCCTGGTTGGTGCTTGATCTGAGTAGGTAATGCTGAGTGGAAGGTGAATACTGCAATGGAGGAGTGAAGGAGCACACAGGTAGGGCTATGCTGGGAAGGGGACCATAGGAAGGCAGCTGGGGCCTTTGTGGGGCTTCACCTCCTAGCGTGGTCTGTCAGCTGAGACGTGTAGTGCCACAGCAGCCCAAAAGTCACAGTGCTCAGACATTGAAGAGAGCCTGTAACAAGTAAATGTGAACCCTGATTGTTTTCTAACACACTTTGTATCATAGAAAATGTGCCATTTTCCCCTCCAAGATACAATTTTCACTTTTTTGTTTAATTATTCTTTATATCTCAGTACCCTTCTCTGGCCTCTTTTAACCACTTCCTGTCCACATGCACTCACTCCAGTTTTAGTTGCACACCATTGCTGTGAGCCACCTTCCTGACAATGGTGGGCTATGCCAAGAGGAGGGGTGGGCTCTCTGGTAGACTGTAAGGGGCTCCATGATATTCAATGGTGGCTCTGCTATTATATTTTTATGAATGCAAGCTAAAAACTAAACCCTCCTCGTGGAGGTACAATTGTTTCCTTTTGACACTCTGATACCTTTTTTTAACCAATTTATCTGGTTGTCAAAATGTATTTACACTTTGATTTTGATATCACAACATTTAATTTCAAAAGATAGATAACACATATCTAGCGAATAATGCAAGGATATTAGCGGTCACAAGGTTCCCTTGTCAGGCATTCCCTGTAGACATGTGGGACTGGAGGCATTTGGCTCTCACATAATAGAGATGTGTTGCTAGATTACAAAATAGCACTTTGCAGTGTCAGAGGCATTGATGAACACAGCCCAGGAGAGCGTAGGAGGCAGGAACTCAGCTAAGGAACAAACTGAACCTGACCACAAAGAGATGAGTGTGGGTGGACATCCTTGTAGCTAATTATTTACTAAATTTGTTATCCGGTACAGACTGCAACATTAAAAGTATCTGTAGAATTAAACGGATCTTATTAATGACAAAACATTCTAAATATTTGCTGAATATATATTTTACGTAGTGACATTACATTGGAATACAGTTTGCGACTAGTTCATTCTGTGAAAAGAAATTATGCATTTTATATAGTATTATTATTATTAACAACCAATTTGACAATTAGAGCAAAACAAATGAAACATCTATACTCATATGGAAGCATTATAATGTAATTGATTGAGTGTAAAATCTTCCTTAGCAGCAATTGCTTGCAGTAAGTAAATAATTTGGTACACTACTTCTTAATTTTAGTGGTGGTTGCTCTGCGTTAAAGAGGAACTCCACAATCACATCATCAGTAAAAAAAATACAAATGTTTCTGTGAAGATCTAGAAATATATTTATGCTCTCAGTACCTCACTCACCTCCATTGACTTTACTTCGGTTTTAGTACGCCTGCTCATTTACACTACTGTGATGCAGCAATGCAATAATGTTCTGTGCATTGGAGTGCAGCAGTGCCATTTATTTTGCCTCCCATATTAACCCCTCACAACTTAAATCCACTCCATACTCTACCCCCAAATTTCCCCTCCTAGCACAAATCCTCACCCTCCCATCCCCAATCACCCCTTTTACCACCCCTTCCCCCAAAAAAATCCTCCCTCCTAGCACATATCCTAGCCCCCCAAAATTCCCCCACTCAGCACAAATCCTCTCGCCAATCCCCCCTTCTACCACAAATCCTCTCCTTCCCATCCCCAATCCCCCCTTATACCACCCCTCAAAAAAAAATCAGCCCCCTTATATTCCCCCTCCCAGTAATAATCCTCCCTTCTAGCACATATCCTAGCCCCCCAAAATGCCCCCTCTCAGCACAAATCCTCTCCCCAATCTCCCCTCCTAGCACAAATCCTCTCCTTCCCATCCCCAATCCCCCCTTATACCACCCCTCAAAAAAAAATCATCCCCCCTAAATTTCCCCTCCCAGTAAAAAAATCCTCCCTCCTAGCACATATCCTAGCACCCCAAAATTCCCCCTCTCCCTAATCCCCCCTCCTAGCACAAATCCTCTCCCTCCCATCCCCAATCCCCCCTTCCACCACCCCCCAAAAAAATCCCCCCCCCAAATTCGCCCTCCAAGTAAAAATCCTCCCTCCTAGCACATATCCTCGCCCTCCAAAATTCCCCCTCTCATCAGAAATCCTTCCCCCAATCCCCCCTTTTAGCACAAATCCTCTCCCTCCTATCCCCAATCCCCCCTTCTACCACCCCCCACAAAAAAATCCTCCCCCCTAAATTCCCCCTTCCAGTAAAAATCCTCCCTCCTAGCACATATCCTTGCCCCCCAAAATTCCCCCTCTCAGCACAGATCCTCCCCCCAACCCTCCCTCCTAGCACAAATCCTCTCCCTCCCATCCCCAATCCCCCTTTTCTACCACCCCCCCCAAAAAAAATTCTACCACCTAAATTCCCCTTCCCAGTAAAAATCCTCCCTCCTAGCACACATCCTCACCCCCCCAAAATTCCCCCTCTCAGCACAAATCCTCCCCCCAAACCTCCCTCCTATCACAAATCCCCTCTCTCCCATCCCCAATCCTCCCTTCTACAACCTCCCTAAAAAAATTCTCCACCCTAAATCCCACCTCCCAGTAAAAATCCCTCACCCCCCAAAATTCCCCCTCTCAGCATAAATCCTCCCCCCAAACCCCCTTTTAGCACAAATCCACTAGAAATGCAAATGCACTAGAAAAGAATGCGGTGGGTTCATTACTTGGTAAGTTGTGATGAGTTATACAAATAAATGGACTGCCTTAACATAGTGCATATTAACATATGTGAGCAAAGCCCAACCCCAGAACCTGACTGGTGTGAATGTGCCCTAAGCTATAGCAATTGTTATTTGCCTTAACTAACTTTATTTTTAGCAATGAAAGCCAAAAAGCGTACTATTGACATGGCTGAAAAGCAATAATTTGACATAGCAACTATAGCTTAGTGAACTTTGTCTATTTTTAGACCTGTAGGTGGAGTGTTCTTTTTCCAAACTGTATGTTCAGTTTGCAAAGTAAACAACAGTAAATAAGGCGAAGCTAGGCTGACTTTGAATACCCAATCAAATGCTAGAAAAGAATAAATACATGATTTTTGACAGCACTTAGTTGGTCATTTGAAATACACAGAGCTACACCGTTCTTGTTAACGTTCATTTTGCTAAGTTTACATTTCTACTCCTTAGTAAATGAACCCCAATGACAGCAGAAATCTGATTGATTCTAATAAGCTCGTCACCTTTACATTTTTATAACTGCATTTCCTTTCCATTCAAACAGCTCAGAGTATAACTCCTTCTCCATTATTAGCTCTGGATACTATGTACAAGTCATTTACAGGAGATATGGCAACTGCACAGTGATTGATAGCCTGTCTATGCTGCAGTTGTTCTTCCTTTAAGGATAATACCCATGATTTTTTTTGATACATGTGATCAAATGTTGAACAGTAGCTATTTATATTGTTTATTCAGAAAAACATATGAATGAATGTTTGCCCATAGTGTGTGACAGGAAACCTACAGTAGAAAAAAACATTGTGACCTTCCGGATCTGCTCTATTTAGGAGTCTGTTCAGTGTGACTCATCGGAACCCTGTGGTTTGTGTATCCGGAAAGACTTTATACGATTATATAATATGTGATGCTGCCAGCAGCAAATAAAGATGATTGATAAGGAAGCTGGAGGACATACTGAATGATTTTTGGTTATTTTATTATGTTGGAGTATTATAGAGCACATATTTATTCAATATATAATCATTGATTACACAAGTTTCTCTTCCACCTTCTAGTTGTTAAATTACTGAGGTACATCCAGGAGTAAACATTTAATTATATAGATGTTCTTTTTTATTTTAGGATTAAAGGGGTAAAGCTTTAGCCTACTTGTTTTCAGTCCACCTGATGTGAGGATGTGGCTGCTCTTGGGAAAAACTAGTTGTTTTTCATTGTCTAGTATCACAGTAATTTATATGCCTGTTATCTCTATCTTGGACAACAGGTGCTTAGAGCCCTATGGGTACGCTGGAGCCACTGGAGTTGATAAAGGCAAATAACCTGTTTATTTTCCAAGGGAATTTTTCCCATAGCTTATGCAGGCCATACATGGTTCGAATTCTGAGTGATTTTTCATTCTAAAATTGAAAATGTCGTTCGCTCTGTAATCCGATGGTGCCATCAATGATTTCGAAAATCGGTCGTTTTTCATGAGTTTTCCAACATGCCCGATAAATGAAAAGGGAAGGATAAACTTTTATCTCCAGCGATGTATACAGCTATACCACGTGGTGTTGAATTTATCCCTTGCATCAAGTCAGATAGTTTAACTCAGTGAATAAACTCACATGTTGAGGAAATCAGATGAGGAAACCCATTCGAATGTTCCATTAATAGAGAATATCATAGGTAGAAAAATGTTACTGTTGTAGCCTCATGGAAGATGCATTCAGGTAGACAGGATACAGTGGAATGATTACAGAAAGGCAGAGGGGAGGGGTATAAACAAGTACAGTGAGAGAAAGAGCTCAGCTTAGACAGGAGAAGACAGCTTAACCATTTCCCATCCGGCCGTTGTATATAAACGGCCGGATGGTGGCAGTACAGGGGCGGGTGGCCGTTTATAAATGGCCTCCCCGCCCCCTGCTTGTGCGTGCTCCCTGGGAGCACACAGCACTGCGATCTGGTGCCCGCTGTGTCCTCTGGACACAGTGGAACACTGATCGTTGTACAGGACCTCTGTGCGAGGTCCAGATCATGTGATCACTGATTGGCCAATCAGTGATCACATGAAGAGTAGTAAGCAAGATGTCACTTGTGACATCATTGCTTACTACGTGTGAAATCTGTGAATGAACACATAGGTCACATGGTACAAGGCTATTCACAACAGCCTTGTACCATGTGACAAGCTGCGACCAATCACAGCTCACACAGCATTTCTCTCAATGGCTGCAAGAATGCAGCCAGAGAGAAGGAGAAATGATTGCTTTATAGAATAAAAATTATAATTTTTGGTTATAAACTAATTTGGGTTATTTTTTTTACTAAAAAGATAACTGAATAAATTTTGGCCAAGATTTATGAAGAAAGATTATTTGCAAAATTTTATAAGAAAAACAAACTTTTTTTCAAAATTTTTGAACTTTTTCATTTATATAGCAAACAAAAATAAAAATCCCAGTGGTGAATAAATACCACCAAAATAAAGCTTTATCTGTCTCAAAAAAATGCTAAAATTCATATGGGTACAGTGTTGCATGACCGCGCAATTGTCATTCAAAGTGTGATAGCTCTGAAAGCTAAAAATTGGCCTGGACAGGAAGGGGGTAAAAGTGTCCAGACTTGAAGTGGTTAAAGACACAGAGCAATAATAAACAAGTAATGGTCACAGAGAAATAATAATAAATCAAACAATATAACACAACAGCCATTGCACCACTAACAGAGCAAAAATCAGGTGATTATTCTTAGGTCTGATTTTTGAACGTAAAATCGTTTGAAAATCAACCCATGTATGGCCGGCTTTAGTGAATGTGTCGAAAAAATTCATATACAGTACAATACCCAATCACATACAATTAAAATAAAAAAACAGTATTTTTGCTTGGGCATGATTGGATGATGGAAGTCAGCAGAGCTATGCTTCGGTCACTAAGGAGAAATTCCTTTGTAAAAAAAAAAATCCTGTGCAAAACAAACAGCCTATTTGCCTTAGTGAATGTGGCGAAAATTCATATTCGTATAGAATACCCAATCACATGCAATAACAATAAAAAAAACAGTATTTTTGCTTGGGCATGATTGAATGCTGGAAGTCAGCAGAGCTTTGCTTTGGTCACTAAAGGAAAATTCCTTTGTAAAAAAAAAAATCCCCTGCAAAGCAAACAGCCTATTTGCCTTTAGTAAAAAAACATGTCATACTTACCTTCTCTGTGCAATGGCCCCAAACCTCCTCTTCTGGGGCCCTCCACCAGTACTCATGGCTCCTTTTGCCCACCAAAGGAATTCACTTCCCATGGTGGGCACACGTGTGTGCTCGATCCCAAGCTCTTTAGACACACAGCCCGGCTTGGCCCAACCCCCCAACCCCCCCCGCTCTCTCTTAACTGGTTTTGACCTAAAGTGGCAGGAGCCAATGGCTGCCACTGCCCACAGCTAAGCCTGTAAGAGATGAGAGAGTGGAGAAGAGCTGCTGCAGACGTCCACAATGCTGGACTGAAATCGAGCTCAGAAGAGTATTTAGGGGAGGCTGGGGGGTGTGCAGAGAATGCATTAAGGTAAATATAATACTTTTACCTTTACAATACTTTAATGTACAACCTAAGTGTAGCCAAAATGTAAAAATTCAAAAACTCTTGACAATGTCTTTCTTGATAATAATGGCTCTGAATTGTCTTTGTTCATGCATCATTCAGGGTCAGCATCTACTTCCTAGGCTAAAATCCTTCCCTAGTGACTCATTCATGTCAATCCTGCATTTGCAGTAGCCTTTTCCTAGACTGTGTACACATGTTTCACCTAGATCAGACCCCCTAAGGTTCCAGTCAGATTATTGGAGGAAGTGAAATGGACGGAAGGCTCCATCCTGCCTGCAGAGTAATTACATCATTCTCTCAGATTGAACCTTCCAGTTTAGGCACAGCCATCCCATCAGACTTCAAGGACTGTGTTTTAATGGCAATACATACAGTTTTTTTAAAATATTATATTGCTTATTACATTGTATAGATTATATTGTATATATAGAACTTGATGTTACTGATAAGTCTACTTAAACTGTTACATCTGTTACTAAACTTGATTTAATTGAAGTACTGCTTGGACTTTGCAGAAGGGGACATACCCCGAAAGTTTGTCCTGAAAATTGTATGTTAGTGCAAATAAAAAAACTATCACGGACAGTACTCAATTGTTTTTGTAAACTTTTTGACAAATTTAAGGTTAAGAAAAGATATTTCTCCTGAATAAAATTACAGTCTCATAACTATGCTAATAATAGTGCAACAGCAACACAATCCTTTGCCCCCAGGTTTAAGTAGGGTACGAGAAGAACAATACCCTCCAAAAAATCCTCCCTATGTACTTCAGAATTGGCAGACCTGGCACAGACACTCTGAGGCAAAAGAGTGTAAAAAAGAATGTTAGCTTTGTTGAATCACTGCATGCCAACTGTAAACAGCACATGTCAATCAGTAGAAGGTATTGGTATATGGGCAATTTGTAATGTGACACTCTAGAGAAGTTTAAGACACCTCGCCAGAGGACTCATTTCAACAAAAACCTTCCCATCAGGCTATATGTACAATTTGCACAATTTCTAGATGTTATATTTACCTTTGTTGCAATGTCAGCAGCACAAGAATACTCTACAGTATTCTCCTTGACTCCTTGGTTGGTGGCAAGTGGGTCTGTAAGTAGAGCTGGGAATTTTCCTCAATTTGTTGTTTTGACATGCATTGCCCTTCCATGTGCTCCTTGCTGTGCAGGTTAGTTATAGATTGGGGCAGTGGCCATTTGTTTGTACTGTTGATATACTGGTAAGGGGACGCACTGGAATACCCTTGCTGCCATTGTGCTATATGGTGGGTGTTCAGTGCGCCCCTGTGCCTTTAAGGAGGGGTGGGCTCCCTCAGGCTCACCTGTCCTCCGTCTATCCATTAAGATGCATGTGCTTCTACAATGAAGGCTCTCAAAATGATAGCGTTAGGAACTGCAGAATAGTGGGGTGCCATGAAGAGGCTCTGCAGCTTGTATTTACAAATATGTGCTAACTAAGGTGTCTGTTTATGAAACTGAGATCAGCGGCGATCCTGAGGATCATTGCTGATATCAGTACATTAGTGGTTTAGGAAACAGAGATGATCATCGGAGAACCTGTTCTCTGCTGATCATCTCAGCACACAGAGAATCTGTCACTGGCAGAAACAGAAACAGCCAGTGTATGAAGGAGAGATGTCAGTCCTTCACTGGTGATCTGTGTGAAAATTCTCCATCCAGATTCTCCAGCCCAGAGGTGGAGAATCGGGAAGAGAAGAGTGAATCCAGGGAGTACTGAGGAGGAAGGAGGAAGATTATTGACTTTCTTCTCCCTCAATCAGAACCTCCAAGACAGTGGAAAAGCCCCCAAGCCTTTCACAACCTCCGATGGGGTAAAGCAAGTTAGAAACACAATATATATACATATATGTGTGTGTGTGAGTAAATGCAGTGTAGTGAGGTACTGAGTGGTCTCCTCTGAAAGAGTAATCAACGAAGCAATGGTAATTTACCGCTGCTTAATAAACTGTGTTTGACTGATCTCTTACTGTAATCTCACTAAGGTGTCCGTTTATGACACAGAGAATAGCTGCGATTCAGAGGATCTCAGCTACTCTCTGGTCAATCACAGTTTATGACACTCAGGAGATCAGTGGAGAACATGTTCAGCCCTTCACTGGAGATCTTTGTTCTCCCTCCAGATTCTCCAGCCCAGAGCTGGAGAATCGGAGGAATGGCAAACTAAGCAGCGATAATTTACCTCTGTTTAGTAAACTGACCTTTTACTGTAATCTCGCGAGATTATAGTAAAAGCAGCCGTTTTCCAGCGTTTGTAGATCGTTCTCCCTTCGTTTGGAGAACTGATCTACACCGCTTAATAAATGGCATTCACAGGAGAACTGTGTTCTCCGAGAATTCCGGAGAACTGAGCAGCGATCATTTACCACTGGTTCATAAACGGACACCTATATCTCACCAGAAAACAGTAACAGCAGCCGTTTTCTAGAAAGTTCAAAGTGTTTATAGATTGCTTCACTCCTTATTAGGAGAAGCGATCTACACCGCTTCATAAACAGGCAGTCAGAGAAGAACTGTCTCCTCTGAGAATGCCAGAGAACTGAGCAGTGGTCATTTACCGCTGTATGATAAACAGACACCTAAACCCCTGTTTCTGATGCAAACTGTTAGAAGGGACAATCTGATTGGTAGAAAGCAGGTCAGTAAGCTGAGCTGGGAATTTTCCTCTTGTTATTGTTTGAAATGCATTGCCTTTCCATGTGCTCCTTGCTGTGAAGGCCAGTTTGGGGCAGTGGCCATTTTTTTATTCCCCTTGACTCCCCTTGAGGTTAAGTTGGGGGTGAAGGATCTTAGCCAGCACAGTAATAGACACTCCCGCAAGAAGAGATGGCTATGATGTGCAAGATGGCCTCTCACCTAGGGGATTGAGTAGTTAGTTCATTTAGCTGGGTAAAAGGCACATTGCAAGTAAATAAAAAAATATCAATGTACTGTAAAAAAAAAAAACACTGCAAGTAAGCATTTAAAATACTTGACTTTTCTGTGCTTTTACTTGCAAGGCTATGCTTGCTAAGGTTTAGTACCCCCTCTGAATCTGAATTCATTGTGTTGCTAAAGGCTTTAATTCCAAGACGTCAAGGCTAAGGACTCTGAGCCATCACACCCTTTCTAATGAGAGTGCCCTTAATGGCCACTGAGGCAGTTTATTATGAAAGGTGATAGCAGATGACAAGAACTTAGATACAGAATTAGGAAAGCCTAGCTCCGAACAAATAAGAGAGGATTTATTTGCAGAGGGTCACACAAAGAAGGATTTTCTCAATAATAAAGGTACAGTATTTGCAGACTTACTTGATGCCTGCTGCGAGGCAAGCATTTTAAATGCTTAAAATGGATGACACATTTAATTTAATGATCTAATATGGGCTGAATGAAGATTCCAAAAACCACTAACAGACAGGTTTGGCTCTAATCATGGATACTGCACTCTGACATTGACAGGATAAATAAATAATTTATAAGTTGGTCCCACTCTAAAGAAAAGAAGCAGATTCTCCATACTTCAACTCTTTGGCAGCAAGTGATGAAGTCTCATATAGGAACAACAAATTCACACCTAACAGCTCCCTTCTTACTTATTAAAACATTAA